CCCCAAAAACCCCAAAACCCCAAAACCCCAAAACCCCAAAACCCCAATAAAAAATTTAGATAATAATATTTTATGTGGAGCTCTTCAGTAAGCCAAGCTTTTGACAATGATCCGACTTTAAAGGACATTCTTGCATCGACCTACACAAGTTCAAGGAGAAGAAATTATGCCATCATTAATGGAGCTGATAAATCTTTGCTTCCTCTCTTAGAAGAACTTGTTCAACAGAGTCTCAATCTTCTTCTTATTGGGAATGATGAGCCGACTCTTGAGTATCTTAAAGATGAATTAAAGGATATTCTTGAAGAAAAAGAACTTAACTTGACCACTGAATATATCATCGTGAAGCAAGATGAGTGGATTAATAAGGATACTGTAAAGGCTATTGATGAAACTATCAATGCCCTCGACTTCCCTTGCTTACTGATTAATAACTACAGATTTTATAATGAGAATTTTATCACTCCAAGCACTAGCTCATTTATGCCAATTGGAATGAGTTCTCCTTCTTTAATGGTGTATCAATCGATGATGAAGAATTACCCTTTGACTTGATTGACAGAGATATTAGGAAAATCTTTCTACGCAGTTGAGAAATCAAGAGGAGTTGATCTTGAAGATACCACAGACCCCATGAAATATGAAGCATTAGACTCTTTAGTTCTCAAAAAGACTAAATCTGGACAAAAGAGAGCTATGAAAAAGTGGGCTCTCCTCAACATCAAAGAGCCTATTAAAGAAATGGAGGATTTAAACAAAAGAACAGAGAGTGAGCAACAATTCCTCAATGAACATCCTGAGCACATGCTTAACGAGAAGGAAGAAGATGAAAAGGAGCCTGAGGATAAGGAAGAAGAAAACAAAGAAGGAGACTTCTGGCAAATGATCGAAGAATACACTGTTCAAGAGCCAAAAATTTGGGATTGCTACCAACTATTTTGCAAGCTTATTAACTACAAGTATAACCCATACGACGATCAAGAGTTAGAAGAGTACTTAGCAATGCAAGAGGTAAATGACCAGATGAAAGCAGAAGCAACAGCAGGATCAAGTTGGCCATTTGGAAAGTAAATGATTGGATATAAAAATTTAATATTCAGTCACTGCTTTAATAGCAGGGGTTTTGGGGTTTTGGGGTTTTGGGGTTTTGGGGTTTTGGGGTTTTGGGGTTTTGGGG